GAAACTGTCATATCTGTGTAGCACGGGCCCATTTCACCCACTGAGCTGCACGGTAGTGCACAAGTATGCTGGGGAATGGAGTGATATTACTGTTGTGAAACCAGGCCGACGTTTGTTGTGAACTGACCAGAAATCCTATAAGAGACATGGGATATACACTGAAAAAAAGGACTCACAGGGTCTTTGGATTTACACAAATTATGCTAGTATATGCAACGCAATTCATTCATGTTTCCTCTGTTAACATAAGTCAAACAAGTCAACCCTAGAAGGAAATTATGTTGGTTTGACACATTATCATTGTGTGGGACCGATGTACACATTACAATCAAGTAAATCCAACAAATTGTTTTGTTCAGTGTGCTTGCACTGAAAAAAAAGATTTGTTGTTAGAATTATGTTAACAGAGGAAACATGAATGTATTGCGTTGCATATACTAGCATAATTTGTGTAAATCCAAAGACCCAGTGAGTCCTTTTTTTTCAGTGTACCCTATAATTAACAGTAACACTACCTTAATTTGTTCATATTGTAGCCACACATAATTTGAATACAGTGATTTTGTTTCTGTTTAAAGGCATCTATCAAACAGCATAAATGGTCAAACTCTAATTATGCATATACTAATCAAAGGTGATAATAGATTGTGACCAATGTTCCATTGTATAACCTGTCTCAAATGTGACTACATTAGTATTAATGTAGGTGATAACTATTTCACTTCTGTGACTGTAGTTGTCAGCTCTGGGGTTGGAGGTCGAGGGGAGCTGAGTTTGGCAGAGGTCCAGTGCCACCTGGATAGAGAGGGGGCTTCTGACCTGGTCATTGACCTCATTATGAATGCTACCAGTGACCGGATCTTCCAGGAGAGCATACTGTTGGCTATCGCACTGCTGGAGGGTGGAAACACAGTCATCCAGGTAGGTAGAGGTACTGTAATACCACAGTTCTTTTATTGGACAGATCTGAGTAAGGAAGGAGTCCATCTTTCTTCATTTTAGTGCTGATTTATTTAAACCACAAGCAAAATTACAAACCACAACCCGAGTGGCTCCTTCCTCCAGACATCCACAGGCAGGCTGCTGGAAAAAAGAGCTCCCGGACACACAGAGCCTAATACATTTATAAGTTTTGGGCTAACCACTTACACAAAAAGATTACAAAACATCACGAGATGGAGACAGTCTGACGTCTCCATCTCTTATCTTATGCTCCACCTGCTTCAAGCACTAGTCATAACAAAATGAAGAATTTCAATGTGTGTGTGTGTGTGTGTTGTCACGTGGTGTGTAACTAAAACATTCATTCAGACAAAATACTCTAACATGAGATTAATACAGGAAAGAATTGCTATCATAGTTCACTTCTCAGAATCAACATTCTATTTGCTAACCTTGAAACAAAACAGACTAGGGCAGACTTTAAGTCATACTAAATTGCATTACTAACACGTTTGATTCAACACATTGTCTAATAATTATCTGACTGATTTATTAATTTCTAACAGTACACAGAACAAAAAATGCAGAGCAGGGTGGGTGCTAAGTGCTACAGTAGGTGTTAATGAGGTCCAGCACTCGCATGTCTAGCCTGCAACAAATGAGACTCCTTCAGAGGCATGAGCAGAAACTCAACAGATAGATGTTACTTCAGAAGTTCAAAGCTGTGAGGTCAAGAATAGTAGTTATTGCCCTGGAGCTCCACTGTTGTCAACAGAAAAAAATTAAGTGATGAAGAATGACTTAAACAGAGAAAAGATGCTCAGTTGTTAGTGCATTTTGAGACTTCACATTTGGGTGCAGAAAGCATTCTGACATTTATAGACATTTTGAGGTGTGAAAAAAATGAAAAATGAGTTTGGGCAATGAATAGAGAGGAGTAAGAGAAGTCAGATGGGAAGAGCAACGGTCTGCTGGGAGCAGCCCAAACTGTGCAGCCAAGCACGTCATCGCCTCCTCGTAGCCAGCCAGGGGTTGCTATGGCACTGGTAATTCTTTGCGAACCTCAGAGCAAGCAGGTTGAGAGGGACTAGAGCTTTTGTGTTTGCAACTGCATTATTCCACCTTTGCAGTATGCTCTGTGTGTGTGTGTGTGTGTGTGTGTGTGTGTGTGTGTGTGTGTGTGTATGTGTGTGTCTGCACGCATGTACTAGAATATGTGTATACATGTCTTTGTGCCGCTTGTAAGCTGTCTGGGTGTATTCTGGTTTTGTGGTCAGCATATGTGTGCTCTTGAGTGTTGTCTCGTATAAACAGGCCTGTTGCATAATAGGCTCATATTTGCATAGTGTTGTTACCTGACGAGGCTTGACTTCCCAGAGCATACACAAAGGAACTCACATGACTCCTATTACATAAGCTGCTGCCTGCCTCCGTGCCTGGGTGAATGACGCCCTAAGCACCAGGCCTCCTAACACTCCACACAAACTTTAAATTGGGTCATGTTTTGCTGGTGCAAAGAGGGCAATAAATGGCACGCAACCTGCCAAGAAGAGATCCCATATATTTAAGTAGCACTCGGGTGTTACCTGAGGAAACTACACTCTTATCTGTCTTGTTGATTTAGCTGTCACTTCATGTGCTGATTGACTTTTCTGAGGTCAGGGCATGATGAAGAAGATCAGTGTGCACCGCTGATAATAGCTTGTGGTTTACAGTTTGCACCGGGTGTGGATCTTCTTCTTATTTGTTTGTTTTGTGCACCCAAAGCTATTGTGTTTGCAGAGTTGTTTTGTCTTGTTTGAATTACAATTTTCAGTTTTACGCATTAGAATATCAGAAGGTGCTTAGGGTGTGAATTAGAACCATTAGTCATAACTATTGTACCGTCAAGTGAAATAGCACCAAAGTTAATTGTGTAAATTGCATAGGATCAGTAGCTAATGTCATCTGACTCTTACTGTATGTACAAAGACAGATTTCCTGCTTTGCATTTGCTAGCAGAAAGGAACCTCACATGAACTTGATAAGCAAAACAGTTTATTGACTTTTACAGGAATGCTGTAGTATTTTTAAGAAGTGTCTTGTTTCACAGTTTATGTTAGGTGTTTTTCTCTTCCTTTGGCACGATACAAGGACAAGTAAGCCTTTTTGAAGGATCATGAATGGTTCAGAGTGAATTTTCAGCATATCAGCAGGTGCATCACATTTCCCTGTCTTACATAACGATAGATTGCCTGCCCCTTTTTAGACAGAAGGGTTCTTGTTGCCTAAATGAAACTCGGGACAAAAACATGCCCACAGATTTCTCCAAGCAGCCTGTTTGTTTGTTTTTGAGGTAATTCAGGGTCATAGCCTAGTCAACACCACTTCTGGGAAAAAAACAAGTATAACAGAGGTAGATGGGGAACTGTTAGTTTGCTTCAGAATGAATTTATCCAGTGCCCAGACCTATACTTGATAAGACAGCCCTGAGGTACAGGGTAAGTGAGTTACTGAATACAAAATGAAATAGGTAACAACACAGCCTTTTTCTGGTTTCACCTCACCCAGTGTGAAAGAGTAACAGTGTTATAGGCCATCACTGCTTTCCTGCCAGAGATGTTTATCTGTTAGCCAAAATAATTAGGCTAGTGTGGTTTCCGTAATACATCATCACTTAAACACAGGCCTGTTTAAAAGGGCACAGTGAAAACCAACTCCTCATATTACTGATGTTACACGTTTTCTCAGTTGCTTTCATACATTTCTCAGATCAGAAATGAAATTCTCTAAGCTACTTGTTCAGCCTCGACACCATCCGGTCACTTGTGCACATCATATAAGCAACAAATTGCAAATTCTTGGGCACATTCATGCAAATGATTATATACAGCTGTCTATTGTTTTGTACATGACCAGTTGCTACTGTCATGTTGATCAAAATATATTATATGGTTCTCTGATGAATAGTCTGACCTCCCAAACCAACTAGTCATCAGCTCACTGCAGGCATATTTCTGTACAGCTCTATCAGACTTTTTTGAAATCGTATCTGAATTGTTGAATTGCTCTCAGGTGCATCTTCACTTTGACTAATGAAGAGGAACGTGTGATGAGTCAGATCAGCCAATGATCCACCAGCTCTCTACTGTAAAATAGCTCAGAGGTGCATCTCATGAACCTTCAGTTGGCAAGTGTATATATAGACAGAGCACTACACAGTGTTACAACTTCTGACTAAAGGAAGAACAAGAAAATGAGCAGCATCAACTACCAGGAAAAAGAAGAGGAGCAGGGCTGTGTGGTGGAAGAGTAGGGAGGCAAAACAGAAAGAGGGAGAAAAGGCTGAGGACAACAGCAGGTTCCTGATGAAATAAGGGCCACACTCGTGCACCATGTTGTCAATCCTGGCCATACAATGGCCGAGGCTGGTCGAAAGCAGCCATGGTTTTTTTATTTCTAATGTTACATTTTTTCCTGTGTGCTATGCAGTGGTGCAAAACACTTTGTTTTCTGTATCACAACGGCAGTAAAAACGCTATAATCTTTCTCAATAAATCTCCCATATACACTAATGTGAAAGTATTTACTTTTGAGATAAACTAAGGATTTTGAGCAAGTGATGGGCTTTTGCAGTTAATCCATTGTGTGGTGCTGTTTGTACAAGCTATTTGGGGGCGGCTGTGGCTCAGGAGGATTTCCTAACCGGAGGATTATCGGTTTGATTCCCGGCTTGTCCAGTCAACATGTCGAAGTGTCCTTGAGCAAGACACTGAACCCCCAATTGCTCCCGGTGATGTCACCGATATGTGAGTGTGTGAGTGTTTGGGAGTGTGAATGGGCCGAGTAGTGTAAAAGCGCTTTGAGTGTGCTGTAAAGCGTAGAAAAGCACTATACAAGTATAAGACCATTTACCATTTGGATAAATGCTCTTACTGTTCTGCAAATATCAAGGATGATTTGAGAAATGTACCAAAGCGACTGAGAAAAACTGGTCTTCAATTAAAATACATAATGTAACAACAGAATCTCAAATAAAGCCTGTAGTTTGGTGACAGTTTTAACAGAAACAACCCCAAATCAGAAAAAGTTGTGACAGTATGTAAAATTTGATGTGATACCTCATCAGTTTTATTCTTTGTTCAAAATAACACTCATTTCAAAAAAAAGTTGGGACGGTTGCATTTCAGGGCCAGTAATGAGGTAAAACAATGAAACAATGATCATATTTGAAACAGGTGATGCCAACACCATTATGATTTGGTATAAAAGTGGCATCCAGGAAAGGCCAAGCCCTTTAGGAGCAAAGATGGGCCGAGGACCGCCAGCTTACTAACATATGTGTGAGGAAAATTATTGAAATGTTTAAAAACAATGTTATGTCACCCTCTATGGGGCAGAACGTAATTAAAGGATTCAAGGAATCTGGAGGGATTTCAGTGTGTAAAGGGCTCAAGTCTAAGCTGGATGACCGTGCTCTCTGGTCCCTCAGACGACACTGCTTCAAGAATCATTACTCTTCTATAAGTGATATAACCACATGGGCTCAGGATGACTTTGGCTCACCTGTGTCAGGTACTACTACAAAGTGTAGTTACATCCATAAATGCCACTTAAAACTGGACTGTGCCAAAACTATGTCAACAGTGTCCAGAATTGCAGTCGACTGCTCTGGGCTCGGAGGCATCTGGGATGAACCATCACACAGTGGAAATGTGTACTGTAGACCAATCAGTGTTTCAGGTCTTTTCTGGAAGGAATGGATGCTGTGTGGTCCGGACCAAAGACGGAAAGGACCATCCAGACTGTTACCAGTAACAAAACCAAAAGCCAGGGTCTGTCATGGTCTGGGGCTGTGTCAGTGCTCTTGGCAAAGGGAACTTACACTTCTGTGATGGCTCCATTAATACTGAACACTACAAAGAGATGTTGGAGCAACATCTGCTCCCTTCAAGACAACATCTTTTCCAAGGACATGCGTTCATATTTCAACAAGACAATGCAAAACTTCATACTGCACCTTACCAAGGCCTGACTGTTGAGAAAAAGGGTGTGAGTGCTGGACTGGCTTGTCTGCAGTCTCGGCCTGTCTGCAGTCTCGGCCTGTCCCCAACAGAGAATGGGTGGCACATTTTGAAACACAAATTGTTTCAACAAAGACCCAGGACTGTTGTGCACCTTAAGACTTCTTCGCAGAAGAATTGGGACAAAATTACACCTGACACACTTAATCACTTGGTGTCCTCAGCCCATAAATGATTTTTAAGTGTTGTAAAAAGGAACGGCAACATCACACTGTGGTAAACGCTTTACTGTCCCAACGTTTATTAGAATGTGTTGCAGCATCAGATTTGAAGTGTTTATTTTAAACAAAGAATAAAAATGATATGGTATCCCATCAAATAATGCGCTGCTGTATTGTTTTCAGTTGTATAACAGGACACAGATGATTTACACATCACTATTTTCAGTTTTAATTTAGATTTTATATATTATATACTTATACTATATGCCAACCTGTGCATATCATCATGGACCAGATAGGTTTTTCGACATTAATTGTTGTCAAGTGATGAGAATGATGGTGTGTCACTGCTGCTGGGCTAACTTAAGCACACACGTATCACACATAATATATCACAGCATAAAACTACACTCTTGCATACTCATCTGCACACGCCATTAGCACATGCACATAGGATATACTTAGAGGCTAGAAAGCTTATTACACAAACAGCCCTTAAAGAGAGTTTGTGTTATGTAAGTGTCGAAGCTCTGCTCCTCCCTGCCCACTATCCATCTATTCAACACTGTCTTCGTTACCTCAGATCCTTAACTGTCACAGGAGCAAACAGGTGTTACCACTCTTATGGGCTTGTTGTGGCACGCTGCTACCCTCAGCCCCGTTCAAGCATTGAACCCCCTACCCCACCCCACTGCCTACCTCTGCTCCTTTCCGGTTCACTTTACAGCTACCTCTTGGAAGGCTTTAAAAAGATTCTGCAAAGTGAGTTTCCAGGTATTGCTGTCATCAACATACCAGCTCTCCTCTAACTATAGAGTGGCTGTTGAATTCCCCCTTTAAATCCAAGTTTATAGTTTATGAAAGTATAATTATTTCAGTCCTGCCCTGTGCAGCTTTTTAGTCAGATCACCCACATGTTTTTCTTTTTTTTTTGCTGCTGGGTTATATCACTGGATATATTTTAGACTTTGCTTAGGTTGTTGTCTGCACAGATTCTTAAAATCATGCACTTACTCTGCATTATTTCACTTTCATTTTGACCACCTATCTTGTCATAGCTTAAAGGAGCAGATCTCTGAGGTTATCATTTGGGCAGTGGCAGAGTACGCCACTTAATCCCTCCAGTCTGCACAGAGACAACTTTGTCATTCACTGAGGTGTTGGGCTGGAAAGGCGGGAGACAGATGAGAGAGAGAGAGAGAGAGAGAGAGAGAGAGAGAGAGAGAACTAGTGGTGTCAACAGGCCTTACATAACTGGCTCGTGTTGATGCCAGGAGCCGGGTGCCAGCTGAAGGGGAAGGGAGAGAAAAAATAGAAGTGCAGAATGATCAGGCTCTGCTGTGCCACCTTGGAGAATCTGTAAAATGGTGAATTGTGATTCAACTGAAACCTGCTGTTCATCAAAGCTCCTATGAGGAATAATGGTACTGTGGTGAAGTCTAAGAAGAAGGCTAGGCTGCCTCAGGGTGGACAGCTTATAGGCTGACTTATTAATTTATTCGATTAAGGCGTGGGATCTAAACATCAAGTAAATTACCCATAAACCATGTCCTCATGTTTTATGAGAAGGCCATAAGATGATTTCCTAAGTGTATTTCCATGTTAACCATGAAGCTGATTATTAGTTTTTAAATTATTTGACACTGTTGCTGATGCAGTAGCTCTGATTGAACAGTTTTTTTCAGTACCTGAAACTATGTAATCAAAGCATAAAACAGCATGAATCTGAGCAAGCATCTCATGCCAGTTTTTAGTATTTGACAGTTTTTGATACTCATTTTGACTTTTATCAGAAAGTACTGAGGTTTGATACCCAGAACTAGTTGGACTCTGTGTAGAGAGAGCACCGTGCAACAGTTGCTGCATGCTGTCCCTTTTGCATTCAGCATATATATGCAAGTGTTGGCAACATTACTCTCATCACATCCATTAACAAATTGAGTTGTTATGGGCATGGGTCTATTTAATGTGGTAATCTTTTAAAGCTGCAGTCTTGAAGCTGTTGTCTCTGGAGCTGGTTGCATAAGTCTGACTCTTAATGAGATCACTATCAGTGAATGACCTTATCTGGTCAACAACATGATGCTAATAGCTAGAAAAACAAGCAAGAAGAAACGGTTGCATAAAAGAGGTGAAAAACAACTACATTTGCTTAATGCTTTAGCAAATCTGTGCATCCCTCAGGGCCTGGGGCAGGTGATTCTGCAGAAATTCTCACTAAATAAATTTCACAGTTTCATTTATACAAAAGACTTTCTGTGCTGATCTCACTTCTGTGCTGCGCTATACCCTGCATGTTTTTTACTGTTTGGACATATTTCCCTTCTCAGAAACGTAACTGAGTTGAGCTAAACCTGGAAAGAGTCTTATGGAACAGAGTTTTCAGACTGGCCCAGAATCTATGTGTGTGATAAATCCTGCTTGCACCAGCCCCACACATCTCTCCTCCCACTTTCGAACTCTCCCTCCTGCCTGTCACACTTCGTGCAGTTCTGGCACTGAAAGGTAGAGCAGGGTTTTCCTCTCTCTCTCTCTCTCTCTCTCTCTCTCTCTCTCTCTCTCTCTCTCTCTACTGCTCACCCTTTGTGGGCTGATGTAACAGTGTTAGAGGCCTCTAACACCATGTGCCCTCACTGTAACCACTCAGCTGATTACAGGTCTTATGTAAGAAGGAATTGTTGAGAGGAAAATGGGATGTAACATTTGAGCCCACTGCAGAAAAACAACAGCTCCCTGCATGCAAGGCTTTCAAGCTAGATTGCCCTGTATAGTTCTTTACAGAATATAAACCACCTCAGCTTGATATCACAAACCTCTTACTCATGCTGCAGCAAACTTTTACTGTTGCATACTTGCAAAGTTCAGAAAAGCAGAAATTTTGTGGTCTGTTGCAGTGCCACAAATGTAGTTCTTTTTAATGCAAGTGAGCTCACTTATACAAGCATGTTTCTGCAGCAGTGTGCATTGCAAGTGTAAATGTGTTGTGCTGGTATGCCTTTGTTTATAGCCCCTTTTCCACCACCTGGTACCAGCTCAACTCGACTCGACTCGTCTTATTTGTGTTTCCATCAGTGAGATGTTGGGGATAGTACCTGGTACCTTGTACTATTTTTGGTATCACCTTAATCAAGGTTCCAAGTGAGCAGAGGCGATACCAAAAGGTGATGTGTAAACACTGCTGACTAGTGATTAGTCAGAGAAATTGCGTCATCAATGTGCGAGATATCCTGGAACAAAGAAAACGTCATTTTTAAAAGCAACGTTATTTAACGCTAACTGCTACTTTACTGTACTAACTAAAAACAATCGCATACCGAGAATCAAGAACAGCGTGCCTTCGATCTCCTCCACTGTTACCATGTCAGTTGCTGACGACGTAACATCAGTATAATGCTGTGTCGCTATGACAACCGGCTATACTTAGAGGGCACTATCTGCAGTGGAAAACCAAGCACCTGGTACCAAAAGTGAGTAGAGTTGAGTTGAGTAGAGCCAAGTTGAGCCGGTACCACACGATGGAAAAGGGGCTTATGTGTATGTGCATTCACGCTTGCACAGTAGGGTGTCCTCATATGGGAGTGGTTGTGTTTTTGTGTGCACATGTATTTCAGTTTGGCTACATGTAATTCCAGTTGTCTTTGTTCTTGCTACTGCTTATCTGTTCTTAAGTGTTAACAGCCAGTGTAGCCCTCAGGGTGCCAGAACCATGTTATACCCAGGGGGGCAGAGGGCAGATGGTGTACAATAAGGTGAGCATGGTGAGGCCTTACAGCATGTTTTCTTGCCAATATGAGAAGTATTATATTCACTACCAATGAAACGTTAGGACGCATTTTCCCATTCAGTTCAGTGGGAAGGTGTTTGAACTTTTGACTGGTAGTGTACGTGTTACTAACCAAACCCATTGCTCTCAGCACTTTGTAGACATTGTAAGAGAGATACAGTGATAAAAAGTGGCCAGCAGAGGTTACTAAATAACAAATGGCTTCTGACCTCCAACACCTTGATCTCTGAGTGAGGTGCATTTTGAAAAGAAACATTCTGAGTAACATTGTACATACAGTATGCTGTTGTTTAGTTGAAAGTCAGCCAGCTTGATCAGCATTTTGGAAAAACATTAGTTCATAAGAAAAGAAAGAGCCCAGAAAGTGATGTGTAATCTCCTCTTATCTGGAGCGTCCAACAAGTAATCATTCTTTAAAACACTTCATTGTAGCTGAAAGCCACCTACAGTATAAATTACATGCATTGTCCTCTATGTCCATATTTTTCTTTAGCGGTCATTTTACCATCGTTTAACGGGGGACAACAAGTCTGAGAAATTCTTCAAGGTATTTAATGAGCGCATGAAGCTGGCCCAGCAGGAGATAAAAGCGACTGTGACAGTCAACACTAGTGATCTGGGCAGCAAAAAGAAGGATGAGGAGCCACCAGACAAAGACACACCAGCACGCAAGAAAGGTTGGAGATAAGAATTTTAGGCCACCAATATAACTTGAGTAAATATTAGATCATATGGCACCTGACACTATTAAACTAGAAGAATAAATGTCACCTTCTGTGTAACATGTAAACACCCTTTGTACTGAACCAGAAACTGCCACATTTAGTGTATTTAATCTGATGTTGTAATAATATAATTTTTTTCATAAATTAATTAAAGTTCCCTGAAAAAAAAAGTCTCTACTCATGTTAATGATTTTAAAAATCAGTATGTGAATTCTCAGATGACCATTCTTGACACTGCTGTTTTATCTCCAATGGTCTATGTTTGCTTCACTCTCCTATACCTGTGGTTAGTTAAAGACGTGCCGGTGGTGGCAGTGGTAACTGAGGAAGTGAGGGAGCAGCTAATGGAGGCCTCTGCTGTCACCAAAAAGGCCTTCACAACCTATCGCCGTGAGGTCGAGGCTGAAGAGCACCAAGCAGCTGCTGATGGCTGCCCTGTCCCAACGGCTGACAAGGGTCAGGACGAAGGCGAGATGAGCGTCATCATCACCATCATGCAGCCCATCTTGCGCCTCATGCAGCTGCTCTGTGAGAACCACAACAGAGATCTGCAGGTGAGCCATTACACCAGTTTGTTGTTGCTACAGGGCTTTTTGTTTTGCCTAAACCCACCCCTCGTCATGCTAACGTTTCCTGCCCTGTGTTCGCAATTTCAGTCATCACAATCGGTTATACAGAAATGAAACCATGTTTAAAATAGGCACCATTTGCAGAACTTGCAGCTGTTTCCATATCTGGTAGCTATGTCTGGTTTCACTATGAGGAGTGTTTTGGTGTTTAGTAATGGCTAGCACTAGCAGCCAAGACAGAAGACTTCATTGCACTGATTCTTTTTACACTGGAAGGCAGGCGCTCATTAAATGACAGTTGGCTCTGTGCTGAATAACTCTGTCTCACCTAGCTTCACCCAGTGTAGCTACATGGCCAAGCAGCACAGATGATAAAATCCCTGAGATGTTTCTTTTCCTTCTAAAGGCCTCACTGCTGTCTGACTGCTTTACAGGCTTGCATGCTTAAAGGGAAAACAAAAGAAGCCACCATTGATAAATTTCTTATTTATCATTTATTATTTATTTTAAGAAAATGTTGGAAAAATGTTATTTAGATTCCCTGTGTAGAACCTTAAAGGGGCGTTTCTTGTACCAACTCGCTCTACAGACCCTGAGACCATCAGCCTGTATTAACTCTGTTGGACATCACTTCTCAAACTTTCTGCTCCCTTGTTGACAATGACATATCACACCATCCAAATTCATGGTAAGATCATGAATCCTGTTAAAGAAGGATATGCTAAAGTCTTTATTTTATCTCCATTTCCAGAACTTTCTGCGCAACCAGAATAACAAGAATAACTACAATCTGGTGTGTGAGACTCTTCAGTTCCTTGACTGTATTTGTGGCAGTACCACAGGAGGACTGGGGCTGCTGGGACTTTACATCAATGAGAAGAATGTGGGACTCATCAACCAGACTGTGGAGAGCCTGACTGAGTACTGCCAAGGTCCCTGTCATGAGAACCAGGTGATACATGTACACACAGAGACCATAAGTGTACAAGCTCACACTCAAGGTGCTAATTGAACAATATATTTAGTTTCTAGTTTGTCTTTGTTTTTATTTATCTACTTGTATAAGCCCTGTTTTTCACTTTGACAATCAAATGCGGTTTTCTTCTAACACTTTATCAAATTAGCCTCAGTTTCTGTTTGGCTGTAATTAGTCCTTCATGCACAATACTAAGCTGCCATACTGAGGCACTCGTCTTGCTTCAGCAGTGTAACACCAGCCTACTCTGGGCAGTGTGCCCGCGTTTGTTCTCTGGCATGGTTTAGCATCGCTTGGTCTTCTCACATGATGGTGGTATCCTCTATTCCTGCTTTTTTGCTGCAGTATGGCAAGTGTGAAACCGGCATGACTAAACAAGCTACTGGCTAAATGCAGTCGCTGTTTGATTTCATTTCAGCTTCTTCAAACAGTGGTAGAAGGGGGACTGTAGGTCTAAACAAAGCTCTTTGTTCATACAGTATCTACTCAGAGGGAGAAGAGACTGATGAGTGCTGGAAAGATTTTTGAATGTGTGTCATTAAGTACCTTTCTTAAATGGTTTCAAGACACTTGCTCCAAACCATTTGGCTGCCACAAGACGTTGTTGAGTTTTGGGTTGTGGCACATGTTTGGCAAATAAACAGGACTGTTCACTACAAAGCCAATACTTGTGAGCCTTGAAATGTGCCAAACCTCATCAGCACATGGCTTTGACAGGATTGGTAAACTTAATGGAATTTGATTACTGTCTGTTCTTGTTATTACTTTTAATGTCTGTTTTTATTTTGTAACTTTGGACTTTCTGTACAGTGCCCTTGTCATTTTATATGTCACTGTCCTGGCCAGGGCACCATTGACAAATATGTTTCAAACCTCACTGGGTTTTTTTCCTGGTAAAATCTAAGTTCATTAAAGAAAAAAAAAGAAATTGGCATGGGGCACCACACAAAAATTAAAAGGAATGTCCTGGGTCAAGGTTGCAGTTAACCAAATTTAAATTTGTGACAAACATCTTTCTTTACCTCAGTCTTCTCAAACTCATTTTATTAATGTATGTATTTTACTGCTGTCCAGATACCAGTTTTGGAAGTTTTTCACTAACAGTTTGTAATCACATGATTTTCCAGTCAACATTCAATAAGTAAACATGGCATATTGTTCTCCTCTTCTATTGTTTGCAATTTAGTAAATAATTTTTGAGGTTACCTTATACAATGGAGACCCAAACATCCTAGAATTTGATTTCATTTACTTTCATTTCATTTGTTCCTCAGAACTGCATCGCCACTCATGAATGCAACGGTATTGACATAATCATCGCTCTCATCCTCAATGACATCAACCCCCTTGGCAAAAAGAGGATGGATCTGGTGCTGGAACTCAAAGTGAGTGATTACTGGTTTGCATAATGGGTTTGTTAGTCTTTGTTTCACTGCTGAATGGTGTATTTTTCCTGTTCCTGTAGAACACTTTTTTCTTGCTGACAAGACATCACACACAGATATTTTTCTTAAAAATACTAGGAGTCATACTTACTCAGGTTTGCTGCTCATTCATTGGCACTAAACAGTGAAACCTGCATGTGCTCATATTTATTAAGGAGTCACAATGGGGTTTTGTGCCAGGAATAAAGAAGGAAAGCAGAACTGCAGGAATTTGAGCGTTGGTTTTATGCAATATTTATTTCAAGGCGTTCCCATTTAGGGATGCAAAAATCAAGGAAAGAGAGAATGGAAATTTATACAAATACCCTCAGCACCCGATTTACCACTGCTACGGCTGAAATTTAACATCAGGAGAAAGCAGGTGTAAAATTGGCAGCATTGCTGTCAGCGAGATCTCATCGAAGTTAGGAACACGTTTGAAGAGGGAGGTGTTTGTAAATCGCATCACTGATCAGAGGAGAATGTGAAGGACTTTTACAGGCTTTGAGGTTAAACCATGCTTCATTTACTGAACAAAATGAAAGATGACTTGACTGACAGGAGACTACGTGACTGCAGGCAGCTCCGAAGTATGTTTGTTGATTTTTTTTTTTTTTTCCCACCCATATTAAACTTCAGTAGCATTAAACACACTCTTTTCTGCCGTCCCTCTTGGTTCATCTACCAGCTGAAGTACATTCAAATACAGCTGCTTATTTACATCTTTAGTCTAAATGGAAAAAGTGAGGTGCCACAATTTTTTCCGTGCCAATTCGAGACAGGTTTAGTAAGTATCCCTCTAGAGATTTACATTGATTAACATTTTTTTTTTAAAACATAACTTTCACAAAATGAAATCCATAAAAATCAATGAACTGCAAAGTTACTGTATTAATGGCATCACTGACAGTAGCTCTAAAAATTACTTAATACAAGGTAGTCACAAGTGTAGCGATTGTTATTACAGTCAAACCCCAGTGTTATGGACTGTTTGGCTTCAGTAGCTGAGGTGAAGATGAATCATTCCCTGAAGCTTATCACTGATGAAAGAAAATCTTGAAACGATGTTTGCTCAAAACAGGTGTGTCAAAATGAGCAGGCAAAGTAAGGATATTTGGAGTTGGATATCCTCTTTGATGGTTCTTTATTTGATTTTAATACTGTTCTCTGTACTTGTCTTTCATAGAATAATGCCTCCAAGCTTCTTCTTGCAATTATGGAGAGTCGCCATGACAGCGAGAACGCAGAGAGGATACTGTACAACATGAGACCTAAAGAGCTGGTGCGTATGACTCGTCCAAATCGTCACACAGAATTAAGTGAAAGTTATCTGACAGTCTACATTCTTGCAGGTGGAAGTGATCAAAAAGGCTTACATGCAGGGTGAGATAGAGGTGGAGGATGGAGAGGAGGAGCACTCTGCGTCTCCACGCAACGTTGGTCATAATATTTACATCTTGGCACATCAAGTAAGCCACCAACTATCCATAAAGGTGGAGTGGAGACTGGCACCCATCAAATATATAGCACGTGGCCAATTGATTATCAGTGCATTAACTGTTAATGTCTTGCTCAGCTCCTGTTTTTTTGCCTTCAGGCTATGTACAGCTCAGTAGCAGAGTATCTGTTCACATCGTTACTTACCGTCAACTGCAAAAATTATAGCTATGCCAGGCACTCTGCCAGTCCTCACCCTACAGCTGTGTAGTTGAATGGACAGAGCATTTTGCATTCAAAGAAAAAATAAATGGCATGTACTGTGCTGACGGTGTTTGTTGTCATTTCAGTTAGCCCGTCACAACAAGGAACTCCAGGCTATGTTGAAGCCAGGAGGGACGTACGGGGAGGGTGATGAGGCCCTGGAGTTTTATGCCAAACACACAGCTCAGATTGAGGTTAGCTGTCTGAATTAGACTTTGCCATATGGAATCTACTGCTGTCATTTCTGTGTCTTATTTTGAATTTTAAGGTTTTACTTTGAAATATTCCCACATGTGTACTATTTTTCTCTCATATCTGTTATAAGAAGGCTGTGTGAACCTGTGACAGGTTTTGGCATGCAAGTTGACTTGAGGCATGTGATAGTGTTTGTCTTGGCCTGCTTTTGAATTTCACTGTGTAATTTGCCAGAATGACAAGCACCTTTGGCATGTTGACACATTTCCTTGTGTGTGCTCAGAGGAAGGAATGCTGATGGTTGACAGTGCTCTGAACTAAAGTTGTTGGTTCAGTCTATCAGCTACTTTCATAAAGAAAATAACCATCTTATTTGTATCACAAACTCCAGTTTGTACTTTAACAATATTCAGTCAGACCATTAGAATTAGTGAAGCAGCCAACTTTTGTATGATCTAACACTGGGCTTTGAAGACGGCAGTACAAGGTGAATGTTTATTTATTATGTTTATTAATGTCTGCTGCTATGGTTTTGTACAGATCGTACGACTGGATCGCACCATGGAGCAGATAGTCTTTCCGGTGCCCAATATCTGTGAATTCCTCACCCAAGAGTCCAAGCTGCGTGTCTATTACACAACAGAGCGGGACGAACAGGGTAGCAAAATCAATGACTTCTTCCTGCGCTCTGAAGACCTCTTCAATGAGATGAACTGGCAGAAGAAGCTGCGAGGTACTGAAGAGGCTACTGGTAACACAAACACAGTTCCCTGTGCGTCTTTCTCCTCAACTCTTTATCTCCTAGTGCCTGGCTTCCTCGTACATCCCTCCAGGCCCCTGAGAACACCCCCTCCCACCAAGGGGATGCAGATACTAAAGCCCCTTTCACACATGCTGTCGATAAACATTTGGTTAATTCTGCACATTGGCATCGTGTGAGCAGAAAATGGACACTGAAGATTTTCCTGAAAAGCAATTCCCAAAATCAAGTTAAATTCACATCTCTTGTGTGAATAAAAGTGATAACATGCAGGACAGTTCAGAATACAGTGGAGATTATTTCATTAAAGTGATGGGTCCGGGAATATACAGTATTGTGTGAAGCAGACCTTCAAACAGGTCTAACCTGTAATTCTAAGTTCCATTTGTCACATACCTCTCAGGTATTAGCTAGTAAATCAATAGCAGGTGAGCAGAAGAGGATTTCAAGACTGTTTAGGTATCATTCATCTTCACTAAACAGGGCTGCTTTGTAAACTATATTTTGTAAGCTATATTTTATTAATGTCAGTTGAAGATGCATAGTATTTACTTGTAACATCACTTTTAAATTAATTCTTCTTGGGGAGTTCTCAGCATTGCTGCTTTTCTTGGCAAGTAGAAAAAACCTCATCTGTCTGTAAACACATTTTTATACCTTTTTTTTTTTGCTATACATTGTAATCAAAATGCAGTAACTCATAATGATTGAAGCCAGCAATGTTGTAGGTTCCTTGTGTGAAAGGGGCTGCATTGTGCTCCCCCTACTCTGAACCCTGGAGGGATGGAAGGGGACAGAGCATGTACACCTTGATAACAACTTGCCAGCTTTTTATATTGCAGAATAGATATAACTTGATAAAAGGCAGTATATGTTCTACAGTGTTGTAAATTGATGTATTCCAGCCAGGAGAGAGAGAGATCTCAGTTCTGTGAACATAATGTAGAGGACACTAGTTCAATACCCAAATAATTTTTATACATTTCACTAGCATTTTTGCTGTAGAAATTAAATATCATTCTTGTAAAGAGATTTATGTGTCATGTTCCTGTTTTATTTATTTTTTTGTTTGTTTGTTTTTTGGCTGTCTGGAAATGAGGGAAATCAGAAGGGAAGGCAAAAGCTTGGATTAATATGGTCATAGTGTTAACTTTTACACCATTCATTCGTTAAAGCCTCATGCACCTGTGAATGAGTTTCAAGACAACTTTGAGAGCTTGCTAGTGTGAATCATTGATCAACTGACGTCTGAGAGGACATGAGTGTAGAATATTGTCTTATGTCTTGGAAAAAAGCTATGAACTGAGCATGAGGCCTGTCCTTGGTCTTAAGTTTTAGTTATTTTTTTTATGTTTCAGTTTTATTATAAGCAAAAAATGGACAGTAAACAATAAACATGGGAGAGAGATGCATATGACGTGGTGAAGATCTTTGGCAGGGTGTGGATTGTTTTTATATGTTACATCTTAGCCAACTGAGTTAGCAGGATGCTTCAAGTCTATCCCATCTTAATGGGATTAGTGAATCAACCTTCTTCATCTACCTGCCAATTTGAGGTCATGTTCAGTCGGACACGGCACAGCCCTACTGGAGACTAATCAAGGCTGGGTAGTGGGCATGGGGATAGCTCAGGAAAAGGAAGAGAAGAGTCCTCTTCATTTTATACTTTTTTCACAGATTTTAAATGCCATAGTTCTGCCAGAACACTTTTTAGAGTTCTCCTTGCAACAGGGCAAGTCCCCATTGACCTCATGGTTGTTAGCTACTGTGAAGTAACTGACCCATGGTCAAGCCTGAAGGAAGGTGGTTTTCTAAAATGTGAAATACGTGATAGCAACCACCTCTCTCCTATCTGAATGGATCAGCACAGCTAGAGGCTGTTTTGTGGTGCTAACCACTTGTCATGAATAGAGTGAATTCTGTTGCAAAAAATCCCCACCCACAGTTCTTTTTTTGATGAACAGCTGAGCTCAGAATAGTGTTGGCTACAATACTGGTCTCCTGACCAAGACCCGAGTATGCTGTGTGTGTACTTGCATGCAAGTTTGTATGTTTTTTTCTCTCCTAAAAATACAAAATCATTGTGTCTGTGAAATGCGCATGACAGTTGTTTTTGTGTACTTCAATGGATTTCAGTTTTGCCTGATTTTTTCCCTTTCAAATTCAATCCTTTGTTTACAGTTTTGGTGCTGCCACTTAATGGATATATGGATATATATGACTAATATGTTTTAACATTTCTGACAGCACTAAAATATTCCACCCAACTTTGGAGTATTCAGTAATGGTGGAAAAAAAAGAAAAAAAATGTTCTGTTGCATCTAACCAAGCACAAAAGAATGCATTCATCTATCCCCATAGGGTATTTAAACACAGTATGCTTGAAATTACAAATTAAATCCAGGGCTTGTGTTCAGGTCAGGATGGTGGCTGGTAACTGTTTTAGTTGCCTAGCACCAACCAAACCGTATCACAGTTGCAATTCTCTGTAGAAAGTGAAAAACCTTTGGCATTGAACATCAAATTTAGCTGTCACTGAATGTAAACTGAAGCATCAATGTATTTGTATGGCATGAGAGTCTGGTATCTACTGCCCATGACGAAGTAAATTACCCCAGTCTTTGTCTTTGTCTTAGCTTTTATTACAGTTATCTGGAAATTAAATTTTTATCACAAAATCTATGCATTTTTGTCCTCTTTGGTGTGAAACACTGATCAATCACCCTATGTTTAACTTCTACTCTAATCTAAAAAGTCTTGTGAATTTGTTTTGATAAACTGGTTGATGTATCACACAGTTAACATAGAGTTGTCTGCATGATGATAGGCTGCTGCATTCCTCTCTTTGCAGTAGAGTAACTTGTGTTAATTTGCCTCAACATCCTGTCCTCCAGCCCAGCCCATTCTATACTGGTGTTCCAGGAACATGTCCTTCTGGAGCAGCATCTCCTTTAACCTGGCTGTGCTCATGAACCTGCTTGTGGCCTTCTTCTACCCTCTGGAGGGTGTCCACAGAGGTCAGTCATCTTCAGCTTTCATCTATTTAAACCTTCTTTCCTCACACTCTTTAACACTTGGAGGGCGCACACAGTTGAATGGGAGTCAGATTTTAACCACGTGTGTGTGGTAATTAACACTGTTACAGTGTAGAATGTAGGAGTGAGTGGTACAAACAGAAGCCTTTTTACACAGATTGTTTTAGAAGGTCAGGTCCTTGGTGAGAATGGATGAAGAAGAGGCTGTCTGTGGTCCTGCTGTAGACATTTAGATCTTTTTCTGAACTGTCCACTGTGGGTTAGACAGTGTTCTAGTAGTAAAATGCTAACTCTATAGACTCTTTTAAGGACTCTTTGCTCTGAGAACAACTTCATGTCCACTTCAAGTCATGTGATCAGATCACATAAGGAAAGATACATTATTAGTGCATAAGACTTTGCAGAACACTGTGTACTTCCTTGCCTGTGGTTTGGGTGTAGCCCCACACCTCCCTAGCTGAAGTGCATTTCACCACAAGTGCAGGTGTGATGAGAATGTAATCTGAGCTGAAAACTTATATCTTGAACTGCAGTGCCATCACAATAGACCAAGAAATGTTTGTTCTTTAGTAGGTTACCAGATTTATCACACCACCTTCAGTTTGATTAGTCTTCTTCTCTATATGTATCACTTCTGGTGACTTAGGTACATACTGTGCTCCACCCACAAGGCCAGAATCTCTAGTGTGAAATATAATACCATGAGAATGACTATGCTGCTTCAGATAACATTGAGAGTGACACTCTACCTGATAAGAGATTGATACACATGACATAAAATCTGTCACACCTCTTATTTTAGTGTCACGTAATCAACAACTTTCCCTCCTTGAATTAAAAAGAAAAGGGCTTTGTCATGTAACAATTATTTAAAAGGGACTTCCACCTTGAGACCAGAGCAGACTTTCTAAAGGACACCCACCACATATATCCATGTCTGACATAGGAAACTAAAGCCACACAACAAATATTTACCAAACAGCCTTTGGCTGTCTGGCGACAGTGTTGCTATTAGTGACAAACATGTTTAAATCCAACTTTAGTCTGATTTTAAGAGCTCTCCTCCACAGATTTCATTCCTACAACTAGAAATGCTTTTAACTCTGGTAGTTCCTGCATCCCATTCTCCTCTTAGATTTCCAGTTTCTTGCCAATATCAATCATGACAGGAAGTAAATACAGACCCAAGCTACATTATTTCCTAGTAAAAGAGGTTCTTGTAGATACCAGTCTCTGACTTGTGAGGGGTTTCATTGTTCAAGTTGCAATTATGTCTGGAAAAAGCCTCTGATATGTCCAGTTTGTTGTGTAATAACAAGGAAGTGCCATACAAACAGATACCTCATGTCAGCAAACATCCATTGTTTAAGGCAAAGTCCACAGTTTCATGGTTTTAGTGTGACATTTTCAATGTGCACTATTTTTAACTCTCACATGATGGACTTATGACTATACATCAGACTATGTAATTAAATCCTACTGAGAGAAGAACTACAGATATCAAGTCTATAATTATTACTTATTTAACTTGTTAGACTGTCATCTGTGGTCAGCTTTTTTACCAGGAATTACAAGACAAGGAACATGAGTAACTTAGATTCTTCATGAGATCAACATATTTGGCCTTTTTCCCTCACCATATTAACCCTGGGTCAAATAGACTCTGTGATCTGTCAGGTGGTCACAACTTCTAACAGACTACTCAGAGATAAAATACTGTTCATTCAAAGAGAGATTTCTAGATCATACTAATACCTGCATAATAGGGGTTTTTGACAAACCAGGCAAAATAGTGACAGACTTGATTGTGTTTTTATGTACAATTTCAGTTTTTGGTTTGTCTTATTCCTTTTGTTTTTCTTAGTTCTCCTTCAGGGCAGTATTTGTGGGGATGTGAAAACCACAGCCATTAAGGCCTCCATTGTTTTACTGCAGGGTTGCAGAGAGAAGACGCACATTGTGATTCGCATAAACTTTCAATTGTTCTGTCTGGGGTCAAATGGTGAGGTCCCTTTTGTTTGAACTTCCTCACAGCGGTATAGAAGAGACAAAAAAGAGGTTGTTAGTTAGCTCTAGAAACTTGGTGTGGTTTTTGCTGTCAAAGGTCTTCAGAGAGCTTGCCAGTTTATTCTAGGACATGCTAATCAGTGTAATATGAGTTAAATGACGTGTCTTAAAACTGAAGCCAGTTGTCAAGTGAAAAAATATCAACTACTGTTCATCTGAATGCCTATACACACATACTGTCAATTCTTATGAGGTCAAGTGCTTCCTGTTAATTTTCAAAACTTATTATTGTAAACCTTGAATAAACCAAACTGCTCTAGTGAACTTCATTTGGGCTTGACTCGCAAATACTGCAAGTTTGATATTGAGATACTTTCATAGCTTTAGAAAATGCTTAATTTGCAGATTGTACAGACATTTTAAACACCATAAAATCCCCTTAAACATTATTGTGCCAGCTCTCAATTGATGCTTCCTCTCTGTGGTTTGTATGAAGAGAAACTGCGGTTGGAGACTTTTCCCAGTAGTGTGCAGATGTATAGAAGTCCCAGAAAAAAGCACCTTGAATAACTACAGTTTATGCTGTGGCCTAGTTTTGGTTCATATATCTGCATGATCATTTTCTCTTTGCAGTAAACTAGCAAGCTGTGTATACTGTATTTACCTTGGTGTAGAGTAAGTGTTTTTTAATGTAAAAGTTAGTCTCTCTCTTCATATAGCTGCACAGTAAAACAAGTAAGAGGGAGGAATGGTCTTAGACTGTACTGTAGGTGTGTGACATCCTAGCTGTTGTGTCTGGGTTCACTGTTAAGCCCAGGCACCCAGGCGGTCTGTTACAGTGCAATACTCAGGACCATCCCTGTTGAATATAGCTGGAACCAAGCACCACTTGTATTTTTAGTCAACTGGTGTTATGTAACAAGTACCTGTCATGTGATCTTTACACAGAGCAGTAAGAAGAAGGAGGCCTTAGAAGGGGGAATTTCAGATCAGTGTTAGAGAAAAGAAAATTTGACTTCTTTTCCAGCTTCATAAATGCATTTGCGTATTAATACAGAGGATTTAGATCAAAGTGATGCTGCCTTTTGGGAGCTCATGTTAATGCTTTGCTGACCTACACTGATTAATGTTGAACAAATAATTGTAAAAAAAAAAAAAAAAAAAAAAAAAAA